CTCAATTTATTTTCTGGTGCTTTCACTTTCTGAGACAGATGTTGAAGCACTGTCTGTGTAATTGCCTCGAGGGTGCGTGACCATTTACACAACGTGGTGCGATCATCCCCCTTGCGCGGAGTGAGGGTTCTCGACCCCGCACAACATGATCTACTCGACCACCATTCATGGTTACCACAAAACAAAAAACAGAGGTAAAAAAAAAAACGGTAACCTGGTTGCCGAGTTCACGAAGTGAATTGGCTTGTTTTACAACGTCGTTCGTTGCCAAGCGACGAAAACCCAATCACGATTATGGCAAACACCGAGGGGGGGACTTGTTTTACAACGTCCTTGCCAAGCAACGAAAACCCAACCCGATGGCAAACACCGACGGGGGCACGGGGGGGGGTGTACTCATAGTTAGTCGTGCATGCCGTAGTCATTAGGCCATTGACCTCGCATCCCTACAAAGCCGGGACGGAGCACGCCGGGTTCTCACCGGACCAGGCTCTCACATCACCAACCGGGGGGGGCGGGGGAGGGGAAAACTCTGCGAGGGGGGGGGAACTCCGACGTTTACGGTATGTCTACTTGACTTTCCTCCTTCCGCTGCCGGCTATGAAGTAAATAAGTTGGCCAAGTACAAACTTGTGTACTGCTGTAGTAGTTCTTAACACTTCCCTGACTGCTGTAGACTACATCTCATTTCATTCAAGTATTGTAAATTGTTCGACGTCAACAAACGGTTGCCAGTCGTCTCGGCGATGCTGACTTTTCGTACCACACCCTTCCTTAGCAAAAGACGCGTAGTTTGAGATGCCTCCATTGGCCCCGGGGATGGTGAGCTATCGTCCCCTGAACTTTAAGGACGCAACCCCGTGTCAAGGACGCTTTTCTTCGGGAAAAACCATGTGCGTCCTTACAGCGGGGTCGACTGTCCAACATGCAGGTCGTTGCGTAGGTTTGAGACAATTCTTCGTTCATCAACCTGCATTTTCTATGCTGAAAATGCACCGTTGGCACGAGTACTATACTACGCGCCAAGCTGCGCGGGGATGTTCATTCGTCTTCTTTGCCCTGCATACTCTCGGGGGGCCAGAGAAGAAGCTCGAACGCGTGCACCAAAACACCAAAACAGCATAAAAAAAAAAGGCGGCGCAATTAAACTTGCTTCACGCGAGCACAAGGTTCTGTCAGGTTGATACAGCAGTTGATGTTGCTCGGATCGACAGGGAGCAACAGGGTAACATACTGGTGGACAGAGGTAACAACATTTTCTTAGTCGGATCCTAAATTGTAAATGGACGAGAGGTGAGAGGTGGGGATAGAGTACAGGGAAGGCCTGATGTTCCGTTTCGAAAACGCATATGTGGCGGATGTGCGCAAATAAATGCGCATGGTCTCTGTTGCGCTTGTGCGCGGGAAGTAAAGTGCACTTTAACACCAACAAGTAATACTCTCGTTGCACTACTTGCGTGCGTGGTTCTTAGCAAACAGGCCTTGTCACGTACACTCACACGTAACGCCAGCAGCTGCTGCTGCTACTGCTGGTTAGGCGAGCATACACGGTTCACCTTTCTCGCGCAGGAGTTCGCTGGCGAATCTGTCCCCCCTTGTCTCCGAGGCGTGCGATCTCTACCAGCCACCCCAATCGGCCACGCCATTGCGACTGGTTGCACACGATCCCTCATCCACCTCTCTGTCTCTCCCCCCCTCTGTGGTCACCTGTGCATAAAGGAGTACAAGGCATGTAGCAAACAGCAGCATTAGTCACCAGGAGCGCGTTGAAGAAAGGTAAAAAGTACAAGATCATGATGGAGGCGGCGGCGGCGGCGAGTTGCTACAATCCTCCTGCTCTCCACCACGACAGAAGCAGTAGTCCAGCAGGAGAAGGAGGAGCCGCGGTGGACGCAGTAGCGCTGGTGCCGGCCGAAGCTGACGATGCAACGATAACGCGAACATCATCGTCGTCGGAAGAAGAAAAAAAAGGCGGCGGCTCCGGCGGCGACGGGGAAGTCGGCAGCTTCGGATATGGCCAGCGGTGGGTCAAGTGCGAGGAGCTGGGCAGGGGGGCCCACGGGACCGTTTACCGCGCGCTGGTGCTAGGTACGAGCGACAGCATCGCCGTCAAGCAGATCCTCATGACCCGGATGCAGAAGTCGGAGCTACAGGTGTGAAGGACACAGACGGCCAGCCAGCCAAGTCTGTGGTGGCTCGATCTCGGCATCCATAATCATCATGGATGGTGAATTTTTGTTGCCTTTGTATTTTTTTTTGTGTTTGATCCTCTCCTTGCCCCGGTGGTGGTGGCGTTCGTCGCAGAATGTACCGTACTTCGGGCGCGACCTTCGGGGGGGGGCACGCAAACGCCGCAAGGCGCGGCTGGCAGTAGATACCACAGCGTGCCGTCGTGCACGCCTGCTGTAGTCTAGTCTACACGCAAACTAGAATTTTAGAATTTACCTACAATGAGGATGTCCTCCCTTCAACTATTGCGCCAAGTCTGTCACCCCCTCCCTCTCGGCTACTTTTTATCACTTGACGAATCAGCTGGGGTCGGAAAGATTGTGTAGCCTGCGGTTTCGAGAGACGACTGCGGCCTACGTGTGGCAGAACCGTGGAGAGTTTGTGGGCCGTGCCGTCGGCTCTGGGTGGGGACCAGAGCGCTTTGTGAACAATGTTTCCAGAAATTCTTCGGTGATGATGTGTCTGTGTCTGTCGTTGGTGACATCACCCGTGTTGCAAAGCCCCCGCACAAAAAAGACGCGTTATTTTTAAGTATGGTGACAAGGCATCCATTCAACAGAGCGCCCACAGCAGTGGCCGCTGTCGTGTAGGATTATTTGGAACAGGCCGTTATGCATCAACAACTGTAGAGCAGTAGATCCAATATTGATATTTCGCCATCCCTCAGGAGAATCCTTTAGGCAAGTCTCTACAGCTCGGTACCATGAGCAATTTGAACGGGATCGCCTTTTTTGTGACATGTTTTCTTGTAGAGTGCTGAAAATTCAAATGCGGGAGGATCTTCCGGAGAACTTCAAACAGAGTTGGAGGCAGATACATGCACAGGGCGTCTTTGTTCAATGTAGGCGCTTCATTCACTGGAACCACCCTCCTCGTAGTGGCGATCCTAAAACCCCTCCATGCAACCCATGTCTACGTATTCCACCCTGGCGCAGCAGTCTCGAGCGAGTTCGTCAACTCCTTCGAGAGTGTATAGCGGAGCGTGAGGTTTCCGAAAGAGGCAGCAGCTGTCACGCCCAGGTTGCGGAAGCGCAACAGCGCCCCGAAATCGGCCAACATCCACTTTCACTCCCACCTTACGTAGTAAGCATAGAAAACGTTGCGGCCGTGTGTAACATCAAGGGTCGTCTCTATGTCCATGGTAGCCGGCCTCGAACGTCGGCTAGAAGATCGACCCACATCAACTCTAGTCCCCAGTTGTAGATACGAAAGTGGGGCTGGGTGGGTCGGTCCACCGCGGGAGGTCGTGCGGGGTTGCGAGTTTTTTCGGCCAATCCTTGCCGAGAATCGACCCGGACCTCTCTCCGGTCTCCGGGGTGGCGTATCTCCTCCCCTCAGGTTATAGCGGTAACAGGAGAGCGCATCGGCAACCCTATCCTTTTTTTTCACCGACAGTTTTTCGGCGGTGTTTTTATGTTGTGCGGAATCACTCTCTCTGTCGCGCTTCGGCCGTCTCGCTTCTTGCATCTGTTATGGATTTTCGATTTTCTTTTTAGATCTTGGTGGGGTGGTGCCATGCCGTGTGGTGTCGTCGCAGGTGGCGGAGAACGAGATCGGCGTGCTGCGGCGACTGCGGCATCCCAACGTTGTACCTTTCTTGGGCGTCCAGAGGGTGAGATTTCTTTCGGCCCGCCCCCCCTCCCGATGTTTTCCATCGGGGTTGGGTTTTCGTCGCTTGGCAACGACGTTGTTAAACAAGCCAATTCACTTTGTGAACTCGGCAACCAGGTTACCGGTTTTTTTTTTACCTCTGTTTTTTTGTTTTTGCGGTAACCATGAATGGTGGTCGAGTAGATCATGTTGTGCGGGGTCGAGAACCCTCACTCCGCGCAA